CAGTTGTTGTCTCTTCAGACTTGGTTATAAGTTATTAGCCTTTTTTTCTTTATACCGTTCTTTGTTGGATGAAGGAAATAACAATAAAAAGTGATATCTTTTTTTGCTTAAAGAAAATGATTTATTTTTTAAAGATATAATTTTTAAAGTGAACTTAATCTGTAAATTAAAAAGAGCATACTTTAAATGGGAATATTTTTTACTACCGAAATGAAAGTTAATGTTATTACAATGGTTGTCGTTTTATCAATTATTGTAATTAGCACAATTGGGTTTGTTAGTGTTATTACAGGATTATCTATACAAAACACCTTTAAATACCCAATAGTTCTAGATAATTATCAAAGTTATGAAAAGGAAATGAAAAGTATTAATATCGGGATGATTAGTGATGATGATGAACTCACAAAGTATGGAAATGATTATTATTGTCAAATCTATTTAGGAAAAATTCATATTACTGATAAAGGATGGGAATATGAAGAGACGAGTCATAGTAAATTTATTAGCAAATTTAACAAAGGAAAAAGAGGAAATGAATTATCAGAACTAGTATGGTACAATAAGAAACTATATGGGTTTGATGATAAAACAGGAATTGGATATGAAATAAATATTGATCGTCAAGAGTTATATCCAAGAATTATTTTTAATGAAGGAAATGGAAGTACAGAAAGTGGAATGAAAGTTGAATGGGGAACAGTTTATAATGATGAGATGATTGTTGGGTCACAAGGAAATATTCATGTAAATGGAATTGATGATTATTCTAATTCATATATTTATCACATTAACACACAACTAGAAAAGAGAGTTGAGTCATGGATAGATAAGTATGAAAGAATTAATAAAGTACTTAATATTTCATATCCTGGATATATTACAAATGAAGGAATCTTATATTCAAATATGTACCATGAATGGTATATTTTTCCTAGGAAAGTAAGTAAAATAGAGTGGATTGATGAACTTGATGAAATTGCATCCAGTCAATATATTATTATTTGTGACGAAGATATTAATGTGTGTAGGAAATATAAAGATCCACAATACGTTAATGAAAGATGTTTTAGTTCTATTAAAATCCTTCCTTTTAATGAGAGAACTGTTATTTATACAAAAAGTGTTGAACACAATGGAAAAATTGAAAGTTATATTGGTGCAATTTCATTAGATGGAGTTAACGAAAATGAAAATGTTAAAATCGTAATGAAAGATACATTAATATCAAAATATAAAATTGAGGGGATTGAGGTCTTACCAAATTATTGGTAATTTATTCTTTTAGTCTTATATTTTGATTTATCTTTCTTTATTTTTCTATGAATTACTCATCACTGATTTAATCACAAGATTTTTTTCCTAAGGGAAAAAAGATGAAAAAAAACATAATATTAACAATAAAAAGCAATCAATTAAGTATTAACAGAACTTGAGTCTATTATTCCTGGTTCAGCGGAGACTAATCTTGTTAAATGAGTCTTCTTCATGTAATTCAATAACATATGTTTGGTTGTTGTAGAAGTAATGTTCAATGACATCAATCATGTTCTTAAATACAATGTTTTTAATTTCTTTTATGTTTTCAATTTAGATTTTTATTTCTTTTATTAATTTAATAATTTCTACATCTATTATTTAATTTATTGAAATTAATACTGTATTTATTTTAACTTCTTTTATTTTCTATATTTTAATTATTATATTCTTCATTTCTTTATACATATTTCTTTTATTCAAATATATTCCATTATTATTATGATATGCAATAATGTTCATATCAAATATTAGATTAGTTTTATTCTTTTTATCTAATACATATATATGGTATTTTATGATATGTCATTCACTTTTTGATATTATTTGTTTGTTCAATAACATAGTAATGTCATTGTATTAGAACATTGTTTCATATGTTGATTTCTTGTATTGATTATTTCATATATATTTTCTTATTATCTAATATGATAATACAAATATTGTCATATTTTTCAATTTGTGATTTTTTATAAAAATACAAGATAATAGAATATATTCTATTATTGATATATTGTATTTACAAAATGGATAGTATTTTATTCATTTTTAATATTTTATCTTTTCTATACACATTGAATATTATTCTATTTTGTATTTTAGTTAAATGGAGAAATATATTCTTTTTAATATTGATTGAATTCAATTAATTGATTATAGTAGTTTTATCTATAAATTTTGATTCAATCAATATTCTAAAATATCCATTTATTTGATTTCAATTTATTGAAGTATTTGATTATCATTGTTTATTTATCATTATTATTTATTTTCAATCATTTATTTTATTTCTATTTCTTTGATTTTATGTTTTATTATTTTTTATTTATATTCATTATTCATTTCTTTGAATATCATCTATCTAAATATTATTTATTATTTCATTCTTATACAATATTACATTATTGTTCTAATTATTTCATTAATATATTCATCATTCATGTTTATTAATTATTATTTCATTTATATTGATATATAGATTATCTTTAGAGTTACTAACACTAATATATTTTGTATTTATTATTTATTTTATTATCTCAATTTCAATTTTATTTAAATTACTTTATATTTTTTACTAGTGATAATGAATATGTGAAGATATTGATTAATTCATTGTTAATTATTGTATTATATCTTATTTTAATATTTTCTTCACATTTTATTTCATCTATTTTCTTCATCGCTTTTATTTGATGATTTTATAATTGAATATATCATTAATTTCATCTGATTATCATACATTTAAATATTTATACATCTCATCTATTTCATTTATTGTAATATTTTCATTTCAAGATAATATTTAATTAATATTATTTATTTCTTGTTTTATTTTCTTTCATTTCTTTATTCTATTTATTATTTGTTTATTTTATTTGTTAATTATTCTCATTTATTCATTATTTTGTATTATTATTATCATTTATTCAATATATAATGTATAATTTATTAATATCATAATATGAATCTATATATTTGTATATTTCTTTTCTTATGATGATTTAATATATAATTATTAATTATTAATTATTTATTAACAAGAAATTATAATTTACATCATAATTAATTTTTAATAATTTTAAATTATTCATTATGAATATTAATTCTATTATGAATATTATCCTTTAATAATGATATGAATATTTTCATAAATATTTATACAAATGATATGATGTTAATTAATAACATCATTCATATCACTTCATTTGTTGATTAATATAATTCTTCAATTTACTATATTTAATTTGATGATTTCATTGAAATTTAATTATTCATTAAATATATTAAGAATATATTCTCTTGATGTTGATATTCTCTTCATTTAATATAAATATATAATATCAATTCATGATGATTTCTAGTTATTTATTTTCATCATAATTAAATTTAAATTATCTAATATGATGATAACATTATTATAATTTCTATATCTTTCATTTAAAATTATGATTTGTTTTATTTTCATTTATTTTAATTGATTAATGATAATATTAAGATATTCATTATCAATATCAGTAGAGTTATTTTTTATGATAATGTTTTTTATTATTGAATTACATTCTATTTTATATGATTGATTTCACTTTCATTTTAATATATAATTTAGTTGATTAATTTATTTTATTTGATATTTTAATATTATTAATATATTCTTTATCATTATTTACATTATTATTTATTACTTTTATTATATTTTCTATTTCTTCATTTATTATTTAATTTATTATTTAATTTCTTATTTAACCAATTAATTTAAATCAATACAAAATATCAATTAAAATTATATTTGTTTGATTTATTGTGTTTTCTTCTCTTCTTGATTGATTATCATTTCTTATTTTTTGATATTCAATGTTTTGTTCTTTTATTTCTAATATTATATTTTCATATTGTAGTTTTATTCATTTGTATTGTCCATAATGATGATGTTCTCAATATTTGTTGTGTATTTATCATTAATAATTGTTTTCTTCTTCTTAATTTCTGAAAT